AAGATAAACAAAACCAACAAGTTAACAAGACTAAAATTAATGCAGAAATCCCTTCACATTCAACAACTCCCTTACAACATAGGTGTTGTAGCAAATCAAGTTATTTTATTTTTACCGAGTACCGAATCGAAAGATTCGTTCCCCGAGTAGATCTCACGAGGAAGGCGGTTCGGAATTTAACTTTGATATTGATAGCACATGAAAGCAAAATAAATCCTAAATATGCTAATCAAATAGGGGATGAAATGTATTATCAACTAAGGAATAGTAAAAAGCAATAAACTACCTAAAATATAAACGAAATAATGAAAAAGAAACTAGGGAGTTGGGGACAATTAATTCAAGTTATATTTGCACTCCAAGACATTAATCATTCTATTCTAGATTGACACTCTCGCTTAATCATCTAGCGGTTCGCTCCCAATAACTCTTCGTAACAAGGGATTGAACATAGACGAACAAACTCGAACATATGACACGGACCAATTATCCCAATCCCAATAACTTTTTGTAACGAGGGACTGGTCATCGACAAGCACGTATTTCAATCAAGAACCTATAGATTATTCAGTTACGAAATCATCTACCTCATGCGAGCCTAGGTCTACAACTTCTCTCTTTTCGGTTCTAAAAGCTGCTAATTCAATTAGAAGGTGTTTAATCAACTAATAATTTAGAATCAACAAAACCCTAACTAGACTAATCAACATTCAATCATTTACCATTGCAAGATCGAAGTGTCACTCTTCGATTATATCAATCAATCAAATAAGATTTCATCAATTCAACTCACATGAGAACGAACAATTCAAGCCCGAAAAATACACGTTAAACAAGAACAATCATCCCCTATCCCTAGCAATAAGAATTAGCTAAGTAATATCAATTCAACACAATCCATCGTCTCTCTCAATTCAACCATTATTCATGAATTAAAAATAAAGAGAATACTTACAATAAATCACAATCCCAAGAAGAAGAAGAAGAAGAAGAAGAAGAAGAAGAAGAAGGAAAATGAAGGGGGGAGGCAATTTTCGGACCTAGGGTTCCTCCCCCTTAGAGCTGGTCGTGAAAACCTTTTCGTAAAAACGAGTTTTTGGGGCTTTTATACCATTCAGGAAGTTGCAGGTGGTCTTAGCGCCGCTAAAGGGGGTTAGCGGCGCTAAGAGATGAAAGCTGCTAGCCTCTGGGGTCGTTAATATGGTCTAGCGCCACTAGATAAGCCAGTCTTAGCGCCGCTAGATAAGCCAGCCTTAGCGCCGCTAAGGCCTGGACAGCGCGACTTTGCCTTTCGGGCTCGTCCGAACTAGGAATTAAGTTCTGTTTTTTCTTACGTGTCGCTAACGAACCCCTCTATTCAATGATGCTTGCATGGCCAAACTATTCATGAAATCCAATTCTCCCAAAGCTTATGACCATCACACCAAAGATGTGCTTCCCGCGACTTCACGTTTTGGGCCCGTTCGGACTCGTCCGAGCTCGAAATTGAGCTCCACTTCTTTTTATATGTCACCAACGAACCCATCTACACAACCATGCTTGTCCGTTTAACTTTTGGGCTGAATCTATTCCTCACGGGGCTTCCGACCTGCACACTAAAAATAGGAAAAAAAAAAACATAGTAAATCGACAAAATACACGAAAAACACATAGAAGACCAAAATAGAGCAAAACACATATAAACTATAAAAATGAATAAAAACTAACTAAAAGACCTAAAACGGGGGAAAAAGAAAGACAAAACAATAAAGAAAAGTACAACAAAAATAGGACAAACAATATGAACAAAAATTTGACAAACACATAGTGTTCATTCATCAAACAACACACTGTTCACCACATATTTTTGCTACAACACTGCAACAAACAGTGTTGCAGCAAATAAAAACAAAAACATACAACTTTCACCACTTGACAACAATAAAAATAATGAGGAGAAACCACGTTGCAGCAACAAACACAACGAGCTTCCAGATTTTTTGTTGAATTTTGGAAAATTCTTCAACATAGATGTCCTGCACATGCTGAAATTGGAGTTCAACACTCCCCTTCATTTTTTTGTTGAATTTTGGAAAATTCTTCAACATCTTGTTCCTGACCTCAATCATTTCACTGGCAAGAATCTGATTGTTCGAGCTATCTGGATCATCCTCCCATTAAAAGAACTTTCAACCCCCATCCTGCCAATTCTTGCAACCGTGAAACTTCTTACCAGGATTTGATGGAGTCCTTGATGTGCCTAGTTGAGCTCTCAAACCACAATAACAAAAAAGATTGGAAGGCGAACGAGAAGGAAGAAGTAGATGACATCGGTGTTCTGACATCGGTGTTCTCTCTCTCTCTCTCTCTCTCTCTCTCTCTCTCTCTCTCTCTCTCTCTCTCTCTCTCTCTCTCAATTAGGGTTCATAGGTTTTGATTTTGGGGAAAAAATTGATATTTAAGGAGTTTGGTGATGTGGCAATTTCCTTTTCCACCTGACAATCGATTTTCGTATTATTTAACATGAAGGCGCCACATCGGTTTAAAAAATGCCACGTGATGCCACGTCAAATTTTTATCCCGGGTTCGGACAAAAATTACCATAAATGATTAAATCAATAAATTATAGGACCTAAATTAAAATTTGAAAATGATCAATATTGGAGTAGTTTTTTAGACTGTGGCCAAATTATATGACCAATTTTGAAATTTTGCCTAATATATACTGTTATCTTTGGTAGTCCAGTACCGGTTCGCAGCCAGTTGGGCCTGCATTTTGTAGGCCGCTGGCCCGCTTTAAAAGCTATGAGGATTTAATTCATACACATTTGAGTACGCTAGGCTTTCTCTTGTTATTATTATTATATTAATTATTATTTTTTTTTCATTTTTTTAAAAGAAAAAATCGTTCAACGGAATGGAACGTAGTAAAAGTGGAATTCCAATGGTTTTAAGTTTGGACATGTCTTTTGGAAGTTGGACCCCAATCGCTAGCTATATTAATTGCAGATATCCATTTATTTTATGAAAATAAAATGAAGAGGCATCCATGATCCATCCAACCTTTACTATTACTAATACTATATATTGCTATTTATTGCTTATTTTACATTCATATAATAGTATATATATTGAACGAATAATAATCATCTTGATAGCCCAACTGTGAAAGGAAAAACAAAAGGTTGATATTGTTGGTTGGTTTCTCCTCAATACGCATCGAGCCATGCCGAGAAACACAAAAACTGAGGAGAATTTCGCAGGTAAGTTCGATATTTGTTAGTTGGTTTAAAATAATGCTGAGGTTATTATGATCTAATACGTATTATAATTAATGGTGACATATATGTGTTCATTAATTATTTGTAGGTTTAAAAGTGGTGTTATGCAGTGAAGAAGAAGATGAAGAAGAAGCCAGAAAACACTACATATTTTCGAGGAATTTGAAGCTTAATTCCTTATTTATTAGGTCCGTCCATCTATTGTATATATATTCTACTTAATTTACGTCTTTCATCAAATAAACAAACCGATTGCATAAATTATGACACGTAAAAGTAATGTATATTGGATAATTAAGATTGTACTTGTTGGAAGTACTCATAAAATATTTTTTCTTATGATATTTTTTAAATTAAGATTGACACATTCTAATAAATAGAAAAAATATATATATATATATTTTTAAATGAAATGTCACCAGGCCAAAACGGACTGATATCACAATTTTTCAATCATGTTACAATGCAATTTATTCAAGAAGTATGCATTATGATCATACATTTGTATAACACATATTTATTAAACATTTTTAATTCATATTTCATTTTCACCAGGAGTGTAGTCAGAAATATTTTTTTACCGTGGGGCTGCTAGAATCGATTTGTTAGGGAATATAACTCAATTCGACTCGTAAAAAGTCTATCGTGATTCATTCATATGATAAAACATAAAATTAAAAATTAATTCAAACGAGCGGAGCTTAATTGACTGCACTCGATTTATTAAATATTTCGAGTCAAACGTGTACATTTATTAAACGAGCACAAGTTCGAACACGATGTACTTGACTCAATGTGGCTTTAATAATATCACCACTGTTATGTGTAAAAAATAAAGTATGATATTTTCTTAAGTGTTTAATGTAAATTTACATAATGAATGAAAAATAAATAATTAAAAATTTCTCATGTTGTTTTACTAAACTAAAAACACCTTATGCCATTTTTTTGGCGTATTTATACGAATATCGATTGCATTTTACGCAAACTTGTACATTTTCTTTTTTTTGTTGATATAGTAATGTTTTATTCAAACAATAGTACTGTCGCGTAATTTCTACTTGCTTACTAAAATGTGGCTTATAAAAACAGTATAACTTTTTTCAAATACTACTATCAGGTGAACGTTTTATAAGACAAGTCAACCTAACATGCTTGTTATATGATATTTCACTTAAAATGTGGAAGTCTAAATGCAATTGTATTAAATAGGCAGGTTAACCCAACATAATTGTTACATGATATTTCACTTAAATTGTGAAATTGCAAATGTCGTTTCATTGATATACGACGCAATGAATGAAATTAAATTATATATTTCACATATTCAAATATAATTTATTTAAAAGTTAATAAGTAATTGATATATTTCACATATAAACTATCATAAATGATATAAATCAATCGTGTCTTAAACCGAACATTAAAAAATAAAAACAAAGATGAAAAAATGATAAAGTAAGATACAACCACATAAAAATAAAAAAAGTTTGATTCATGTCCAAAAACTAGTGGTCTATTAATTTAGTCCTTAATGGTTGTAATCAGTTGATTATCAGTGTACTTTTTTTCTCAGTGGTATAAAAGTTGTTGTTTGCCATTTACAAAAAAAAAAA